TTCTTGAGTGTATTCGATACACTGTCATTCACCTTCTTTCACTTAAGGCAGATAAAGTTCGTCAGTTTCTGTATTGCTCATTGTTTGTTATTGACCATTGATCCCAATGATTCTTCTTTTTTATGTAGTTTAGGCTATTGTATTTAAATCCACTTGTAGCGACACCGTCTTAGGCAACAGAGGAGAAAACGAAGGCACATAATTGTGTGAATACGTAAATGGGCCATATGAAGAGAGGTTACGAGAAGGATATGCAGCAATAGAAAAAATAATGAAAAAAATAGGAGCGAGGAGTGAGGACACAGAACATTGGTTAAGGTGATTGTCTTCATTTGTCGCTTTGATAAGTTGTAACTGTGTGTTAACGATGGCGCCTCTCAGTGACAATGCCGACGATGAGGCTGGCGAAATCTGTGGGAATGTATCAAGTAAACGGCGAGGCGCTGGAAGAACAAGTAGCAGCACGGAGTCCGTTTTTCAAAGTCTTTCTGAAAACACGATTAAGTTGTGAAAATGAGGAAACTGCGATCAAACCCAAGGCCATACCATCTTGGATTTGATATCTTAACTCGAGGAGGCTTGGCGACTTTACATGCATGTCTTTTGACTGCAGTTTGTAACACAAGAGGCGAAACAATCATTTACTTGTCAAACGCGAGGTACTGGCCAAATTGTAATGCTCCAAAGATTTGTCAGAAACAGCATTCGCTCAAGACTTCTTCACCATATCCTTTCAGAGGAAAACTGAGATGGAAGGTATACCCTAGTGGCGTCTTTTGATCAGTATTTTGCATCGTAGCTGCCAATATTAACGTGTGCAGAGGATCAGCAATACTAGTACTCTTGTCTCGGATCGCAGGTTAATGTACAATCTTCATACCGTGAACATTTGTCCATCTACCAATTAGGACCTACATCATCCGTCAGATCTGTGCTGATAATGCACTCTTCTGGGCTCAACATTTTCCCACGCCTAGCTTATTTTTCGTCTATAAGTAGACTACCAGTAACTCAAATATATGAGATATATGCACTCTATTTCCTTTGAGGTGATTAAGGGTTTTTGCGTATTGTGGTTGGTGGAGAGGGTTGCCTGTCAGCGTAGAATGCGTGGTAGGCATTCTCATTTAGCGTTACATGGTTATTGGCAAGTGGGAATATGCCATGACGACAGGTAATCCCAATGTGTATGAAAAGGGAGAGGTCCGTCTTTGGGGATGCTGTAGGCAAGTTAGTCTTTATGAGATGTATTAACCCTATTTCGTTTGACGTGATGAAGGAGTGGTTGCTGAATTTTCCCATAATGGTATGAATAGACCCTACAGTTCCATTGGATTTTACATATACAAAAGGTATTCTCTTCCAGGGTGGAGTATTGTTTCGAACTTTCACCTCAATGAAATAGGGTGAATACATCTCATATAACCGATTTACTAGTATTCCCAAAAGCCTACTTATAAACAAAAAATAAGTAATGCAGTCAGCTATTATGGCAAATATAACTTTACTTAATCGAAAATCCTACAAAAGTGTGTGATATGGGTACTCGAGGCGAAGTGGTGTAGTGGGTAACGTGTCGAGAATAGGCATTAAACCGCACTCCACTGTGGATAAGAATAGCTTTTGGAAAGCAAGGATGTGTGAAATCCAATGGCATTGTGGGGTCTATTCATATAATTGTGAGAAAATTCAGATTGTCTACACATCAGGATTGCCTGTCGTCATGGCATATCCCCATTAGCCAATATATACCATGTAACATTAGATGAAAATGCCTACCGCGCATTCGAAAGCCTTA